GCCAACTGTATGAGGTTCAACAAGGCCAAGTACTGCGTCCTGCACTTGGGTGACAACAACCCCCTGAAACACCACAGGCTTGGGGAAGAGTGGCTGGAAAGCTGCCCGGCGGAAAAGGACCCAGGGGTGCTGGTTGACAGCCGGCTGAACATGAGCCAGCAGTGTGCCCAGGTGGCCAAGAAGGCCAACAGCATCCTGGCCTGTATCAGAAATGGTGTGGCCAGCAGGAGCAGGGAGGTGACCGTGCCCCTGTACTCAGCACTGGTGAGGCTGCACCTCGAATGCTGTGTGCCTTGCCCAGCAACTGTTTTGCAAAGCTGATTTAGTAGAAATGAGCCTGGTGGTCTCTTGTCACCGGTGCTCCCTGGGGCAGTTAGCTTTCCTGTCAACACTAACCCTACAGTGCTGGCTCAGACAACCACCGGGTCTGCCCTGCCGCAGCAATAGGCAGGCAAGAGGCAGGCTCATTTTTAGGATGCTCTTATCTGCCACCGTTTTGTGTACCTCCTCCATGTGTGCTTGGAGGGGAGCTAGAGATGTATTTTTGTCCTCTCAGCCTCCCGCAGCAGAATATTAGGAAAAAATTCTTTACTGAAAGAGTGGTTAGACATTGGAACAGGCTGCCCAAGGAAGTGGTGGAGTCACCATCCCTGGAGGTATTTAAAAAATGTGTAGATGTGGTGCTTAGGGACATGGTTTAGTGGTGTTCTTGGCAGTGTTAGGGTAACAGTTGGACTTGGGGATCTTAAAGGTCTTTTCCAAACTAAATGATTCTATGATTATTGTGTTGTTCTTTATGTGCTTTTCCATAGTACCCAGTATGATCTTTGCCATAATTTTTCCAGGAACTGAGTTTAGCCTAACAGGTCTGTAGTTTCCTGGGTGTTCCCTCACCCCCTTCTTGGAATAATTGGCTAGCTTCCAGTCAGCTAGGGCCTCCCCAAACTCCCATGAACTTTGGGAGATTTTGTTGGGGTTTCCAGTTACAGCAGATGTGCAAGTCCCAGGTAAGACCTGCGAATGGACAGGCCAGCTCTGGACCTGTCTATAGATTTAACTGTGAAGATGGGATCTGGCCCCACCTTCAATTTAAGAATGTGGTGACCAAGTCATAGGGCACTTGTGATGTAACACCCTTACTCTTAAAGAATAGACTTAGTAATGTCGTTTAGTAATGTACCTTGTTATTCATTCAGCTTGAATTCATTCTCCTTTTTCTATTTTATTTCATGTATTTTCTTATGCTGGATCACCCTTGGATTTCAGTTTTCTGATCTGCCTTCCTTACGATGGCAAAGACTATCACAGCTAACTATAATAACACGGAAAGAAGTTGTATTGATTAACAATTTAAAGAGAAACTCAAAATATCACAAAATAAAGACTAGTTACGATGGCTCTGAAAACCAAAATTGTTCTTTTGAACGGATCCACTGAAAAATACGGTGTGGCTAGCGCTTTGGATAAGATTCAAAACTACCATGGACATAAAACAGAACTATACACAATAGTCTTGATTTTGATGCGACAGTAATTGCCTCTCTTTTGTAACAGAACTTCAGCTGAAGCCCATGTGGAAACAAAAATTCAACGACTCTTGAGAAATGCAGCTTGAAATAACAGAATGTGGGTTACCTCATGTGCAGAAACTGGGGGAATTGATTCCAGACCATCTTTCTCAGCTGCTGCAGACTTCAGGACTTGACCCTTCTGGCACACCCTTTGTTGAACCTGCTCCACATCCTCTGTATATGACTGATTCTTGACAGCACTAGGTTTCTCCTTTCGGTTTAAGAAAAATAAAAGAAACAAGTAACCAAAAAGCTCTAATCAAACCTGCTGAGTAGAAAGCACAGTGCTTGAGATGACAAAGTTACAAAGTCCATAATTATAGGTAGACGAGGAAAACCACAATTACATCTCCTAATTTATTGTGGGCAAGGTCATGGCAAAGGAAACCATTCAGAAGAAGCAGTGCTGTGATTTTGTTATAAATTTTTAGAATAATTGCAGACTTCAAGTGTTCTTCCTTTGACCTACGCTGTTCATGTTTCATTATTCTAAGCACGGACCTTGAACTGTGTACCCCTGGATGCAGTCTTGAATGCATTTTTTAAAAGGTTTAGCTTTTTCCTGAGGGTCCAGTCTTGTACTGTAGACAGAGAGTCTGTGATTAGACACCCAGCTGAATATCAGGCAGGCTATTCCCATGGGCAGCCCGGGGATTTGGTCTAAGTACATGCTGAGCTGACTGTAAGTTCTGCTTGAGTTTGTTTATCGTCTGAGGACAGATAAAATAAACAGCGACCTACACAAAATAAAGAATGGCAAATCCTTACAGCATGACCGTGGTGGAGAGCACAGAACTGGGGACCTATCTGTGCTCCATGGATATCTGAGCTAGTGGCTGCAAGTCAGATAGGACGGGTACTGGAAGCAGCTTACCCACAACCCAGAATCAACAAATTTACCCCACTTCTCAGCAAGCTCATCAGTGCACATTGTGCCCCAACTTGTCACTACTACACTGCTTTCAGCATCTCACACAGTTTGCTAAAACTGAAAGTCTGAGAAGAGCCTGGCTCTCTCTTCTCTCTAACATCCCTTCAGGGAGGGGATGACAGCAACAAGACCCCTGTTAGCCTGTTCATCCCCACCAAGAACTTAGGCTCTTCCCACTCAGTATGGCTCCAGCTCCTAAACACTCCTCTAGTTTGTTGAAATTCCCCTTGTACCCGGACACACTGAACAGGACACAGCATTTCAAATGTAGCCTCATACATGCAAAGTAGATATGTAAATAAGAAAACTAACTAAATAAAAGAGACTCAAGCAAAATAAAAGATTTCAAGCAAAATGGTAAGAAGTCTTCAGAATACATCCATGTGACTTGGAATGCAATATCCTCAGCAAACGACTAATGAAAAAAAATTACCTCCATACTAATTTTAAATGTATAGGATTGAGAGAGTTAATGCATACTAAGTATACAGCACATCAGATAAAGCCAGCTCAGTGTAACTTGCTTTTTTGTTATTTATTTAGTAGTAGTATCATCCCCACTGCAACTAAACTGTATATACATACCCTCAAATTCAATGACTCTTGTGTAATCTCATGTCGAGTTACCTCCGCCGGACAGGCTTCTTTTCTTGTTTCATCACCTTCAATACCAACACCATCCTGAAGCCTTTCCAGTTCTGCTTCACCACACTGAACCACACTGTCCAGAAAGCCCTCTTGGACCCTGTCATGTTTGTCCATACCTGGGCTCTCTTTATCAGGCTCCCCCTGATTTGAAAAATACAAGATGTTTACAACCAGTGAAAGTCACAGTCCAAAACCTAAGTTTTCCAAGGAACTTCACACTCCACAAGCTGTCTACTCGATCTTCAGTTTAGCTTAATGAATGAAGGAAAAGGCTGAGATAATCCAAACCCAGAGTCTCTTGGAAACGCCTGCTCAGATCAGTTTGCCAATTCGGGACTTTAATCACTATGAAAAAGTTTCAGGACAAACCGAACAGGAGTACGTGCTCACATGATTTTTAATACTGCCATAGAATTTTCTGCTTAGACACATTTGGCAACTCTAACTAGTGATCTTGCTCCTTCTCCAGAAATCCCAGTACAGGTTACTCTGATATTTTGATGGTCACTTCTCCCAGCCTCTGTTACCACTCAATGGTCAAGTCAAAGAGGGAGTTCTCCAACTCATTCCCTCAGCTTTGCACACATCAAGTCATTTACAGCGTGAATGTCCTGAGGTCCCTAAAGATCAGCAGTTCCAGGTTAGCGCCTCTCATCACCTACCTTGTGCGTGTGGGTAACAAAACCTGTTGAAATCACAGGTATGTTGCAAGTTTTGCATCATGGAGAAAGAGGGTCCAAGCCCTGGGGGCTTGTAGAGACCATCACATTCATATCATGCACCTTCACCTGTGCAAGGCTGAGGGTATGATTTAGAGAAGATCATTTATCATTCCTTTCATCAGATAAGGAAAATATGTCTCTGTAAGACTACAAATTTTAATGGTTTACATATGCATTTCTAATGAACAGATAGGCATACACACACACACACACATATATGTACTGACACATATTAGAACATATTTGTCAGGCACCTGAACAGTCCGCCCCGATCTATCCTTGCTTTGATGGAAATCCTGTAATGGGCTGTCTGACAAGATGCTGCTTTCCTCCAGAAGTGGATCGTTTTGCTTCTTTTTCTCGGACATGTTTCCATTTACATATTGACCCTAAGAGAAATGAGATTTAAAAAAACCTGCTTGTGTGACCATAAATATCATATTTTAACATTAAGTCTTTGAATTTATGAAAACAAACAGGACAGATACTGTGCAAAAAAAACCTGCTTGTGTGACCACAAAAAATTGTATTTTAACATTAAGTCTCTGAATGGCAAAAATTGTTATTTATGAAAACAAACAGGACAGATACTGTGCTGCAGTTCTAAACAAGTTTTAATGGTTTAAGAGAAGCTCTCAAAGTTCTTTAGCAGTGGCGTATCTGCAATTTTCTCATCTATACACCTTCTCCCCTTGTGTCCTGACCAAGGATACTTGCTGTACTTATATGCAAAAGAAAGCCACATGCAGGTTGTGTTTAAATTGAAAACTGCAGTTTTCAATGGACAATATTGACTTGTTACAGACTTGTTATAAAAAGTTAAGGGAGTTCTCCACATCTTTGATTTATACGCATACATTTACACAAGGCTTAATTTGAATGAAATTTAGGATGCAATATAGGAAGCAATATACAAAAGGCATTTGAGAGACAGACGCCTCTTTAACCAGTCTTCCACTGTCATTACTGTCAACAAATATGCTCACATCATGCATTTCCAAAGGCTCCTTTAACTCCACTGCTGTGGGGCTCTCTTCTGCAGCGACAGGAGTATCACAAGTGATCTGTATCTCTCTCTTCAGCATTGTACCTGCCTTATCTTCCATTTGTATTTCATTACCAATCTCATCTTTTAACTCAAGGGCTTCACAGAAAATATTTTTCTCCTTTTGCTTGACATTTTCAAGTCTTTCTTCCAGACTCCTGTGTTCACTTTGAAGTGTTTCAATCTCATCCTTAATAAACTTCTGTCCTGGTGAAGAGGTGTTTTGTTTAACAGTTTCTGCTAAAACCAGAATCTTCTTTAACGAGTCTTCACATTGACTAAGAGGTCCTTGTTGTTTCTTTAAACACGAAGAAAACATTTTATTGAAAAGTATCTTCACTCAATATACTTAATGCTAAGATCTAAAGTCAATCACTAAAATCATAAATATTTGTTGTGAACAACAAACTGTGCTGAAAAGTGCATGCAGACCTATTTGCTGCAGAAAGTCAAATACTGAACCAGTAATTTTAGTCAGCCATTTTTATGAACACCTGAAGCTATAAGCATTACGACAACGATAAAATAATCAGACAGTATGCTGTGAGGCCACCTTTCCAAGTTGCGAACAGATAATCCCCTCCCTCTCCTATTCCTTTTTACTTGTTAGAGGTATAGCAAATTCTGGAGGAAGGGGAATTGCAATGATCCATATCTGAGCTACAGTTTCAGCTTTCAGTAGTTTTCTATGCTCAGAGCTACAAGACTGTTATCTGCCAAAGCGCAAAAGAACATCTACTTATGCATGAAGGACACTTCTTAAAACTGAACTTGGCTCACTGACATTTTCCTAAGCTTTCTGCTCTGGCTAATTTAAAGACACTTACTAGCACCAAATTTATGATCTCTTTCCTCATCATACCCACACAGGAAAAAAAAAACAAACTCAACCAACCAAATTGGCCTATGAGCTTCAGTTAGGACAATTCTACCTTCAGTGCAGTGGACAGTAAAGGCCCACTCAGTTCATTAAGAGTGACTTTAGGCCTACAATTATCTTGATAGAAGGAACATACAATTTATATTTTAGAAAGGTTTCTCAGTTTTTCCATTTGACGCCATTAGCAGTTCTCTCTTATAAATGTGATGGCGGCTACAAGTCCCTAGGGCATGGACCCACTTTCCCCATGATGGAAAACCTGCCACGTACCTGTGATTTCAACTTGTTTTGCTCAGCTGATGGCTGTTCCGTTGCTGTCCCTTCGCAATCAGCAAGCTTCTCAGAGACAGTTTTCAGCTCCGTGCTCAGGCCTGCTACCATATCCTGAAACTGCTGATGCTCTTGAACACGACTTTCCAACGTCTGCACTATGGTCTAGAAACCAAGGAGTTTCTAGGATTAGTCCATCATTAACTCAAACAAATATAACTCATCCATAGACTGTCACAGCTTTTCCAGGACCCCAGCAACACAAAAAACTTGCTTGTTTCCCATAAAATATCCAGCTAATGACAGGTGCACAGAAAATACCTTGCCCTCTTCCCAGCACATCATGGACTCCACCATGAACAAAATCTTCATTAGTAGCAGGAAGCAGAAGAGTTTTCATTCCATAAGAATATACTTCTAAAAGGGATGTTTTCTATCCAAAATGCATGAAAGATTGTGCAGAATGCCACACAGGGGGCAAATGCAATTTGCGCTAAACTGGGTGCAACCAACAACAAACAAGATGGAGGAAAAACCATTCATCCTTCCAAAAGGGAAAAGAAATATCGTGGCTTGGAGATTAGAGGAACAAACACTTCATATTATAGCTACCTGAATCTGTTCATACAGGTATAAAATGTTATTCTTCACGCTTACCTTGGTCTCATTTGTTTAAACATTTATCCCTCTGCAAAGCAGAAGGCATTGAAAAACATGAGCTTGTGGTGGTCTTTTTCTTACAGTAAGTGAGAGAGAGAGAGGAATTTCCTGCCCTTCTACAGAGGAACTTCCACCACTCCCAGTTTTACCCATAAACTTTCCAGCTGAAAACACTACAGGCCAACAGTGAGAACTGCAATCAACAAGCATATCAATAATCTCATAAGGAAAGAGAGTGAGGTTCCAACCTTTAGCTGGCTGAGCAGATTTTCATGTTGGTGCTTTAATTCTGACCATTCCACCTCTGTGAAGCAGGGGTCCCCAGTGTGACCCTGTAGGTGATCTTCCTGGCTTTTCAACTCATTAAATCGGGAAGTTAAATCTTCTGCTTTCTGCAGGAGGTCAGCATAGTTTGTCAGCTGAGCTTGCTTCTCCTGCAAACCAGGCTGAAGGGCAAAACCTATCTCCTGTTGCTGTTTCTCCAGTTCAGTTAGAGCCAGTCTCAGATCTTCTTTGCTTTGCTCATATTGCTCCCTGTTGAACTGAAGTTGCTCTTGAGGGCTAGGAAAAAATACTGTGTTTAATAGTAGTAAAAAAAATTTTTATTCATTACCTAGAAAATATCAAATTGTCAACAAATCAACCATTAGAATGAACTCGACCATACAGCATACTTTTCTTCAGATTTTAAATTCCAGCTTTAGACTGGAATTTTCAAGGTGATAAAAAAGAAAAACACTGAAGTTATTGCTGCTGAACTGGACCTAATTGCAGGTCAAGTGACCGACCCTCTTAAACCTTAACCCACAAACCTATAATTTCTAGCATCTGAGATTTGATGATCATGCTCTGCATTTTTCCGCTTTTCATTACAGCAGAAGCTCTGTTTAAAAACTACAATATGGCTATAAATCTATTTTTCTTGACAATTTCTTATGACAGTCTTCTAAAGGGAATGTTCTGTAGAGATACACACTGCTTTGGTTGAGATGGGGGTAGGGGAGTGTTTTAGAGATACAGACAACAAAACAAGCATATGCAATATAGGTCATGTTAGCACGATCCAGTGCCTGCTTTCCTGACCTTGACATTGGATTTTGATCTGTGTGCTTTATAAGCATTCATGCTGATCTGCTGCAGGTGAACACAACGCATTTGTCCACAGGAAACATGCAACTACAATCAGCGAAAGAAAAGTTAACATTTACATGTTCCCATTTAGTGATGAAGCTCTGATATTTTCCAGATGGAACTTAAATGCCAACATTCAAAAATACGATCCCACACAAACAAATCCAAATAAATAAAGTCTGGTTATAGTTCTGTAAAGTACAGCAGAATAAATGAGGACAAAAGCAAAGCTTAAGTGTTTTGGGTTTTGCCCCTCAAGATTAATATTTTTTGGCAAGTGACAAATAAAGCAGAGCCCCACATACGTTAAGTACTCTTGCCTCAAGTTCTCTATTCCAGCTGCACACTGCTGCCTTTACCATGGTGCATCTGTTATTCCCAGGCCTGATCCTGCAAGGTCCTGAGCGTCTCTTCAGATGTGCTGAGCACCTCATCTCCTGTCTTCAACATACTGTGAAGAGGGTGCTCTGCATTCTGCTGTGTTGCATCCAATATAGCCAAGGCTGTATCTTTCTGAACGCCACTTGTATTTCTTGTACTGAGCACTCAGTAATAAGAGAAGGCAACTGAATATTCTCAGAAATACTTATTTTTATTAATTCATTCCGTGGACATTTTTTAAAAAGTACACAGCAGGCCTACTCTAGCTTCCATTGATCTCAACAGCAAAGTTCCCAGTGATTTTACTGAAAGTCAGTTTATGAACGTTACAGCAGACAAATATCTTAAGTGTCTGCATGTGCAAAATCAGAACTTCAGTTTATGTTTACACAACACACATGGAACCATCTGACATGTCTTAAAGAATCGATCTGGCTCTCAGATACAGTTGCTACGGTGCCAGCAACACTAAAGTGCCTTTGCTGACTTAACAATACCAGCTGCCTCAGCCAAGAAAGCCGCTCACAAAGCCAGACTAAACCAGGCATAAAAACTCTTACGTTAAAAATCTCAGCCTCCTGGATTTAGCCCAAAATCTCTTCTGAAGCAGTATGAATCTGTGCAAAGGTAGATCCCACCTCTGCTGGGGGACCATGCCTGGGGCACAGAGCCCAGATCCCATTGCAGGGAAGGGCCACTGCAGTGGTTAAATCAGCACACCCTCACTGCACAGTCTAATGAAACAAGGAGCATTGCGTGCACATTTTTTATTTTTTTTTTATTTTACAAAAGTGGCTGAGCTACTTCAGTATCACAAGGGGATCTGAGGCAAGCTGGGCAGACCCTACCAGCTGCCCTGCCACCCCCTTACACCTCTTGGCTACACCCCCGATGTGACTGTTCAATTCAAACTGTGACCTGCACCTCCACGATACTGCAGAAATACAAGTATTTTTGTAGCTATCTTGTTCTGACCCCAAAGAACACAAATTCAACGGTGCAGGAAGAAGAGAAGAAAGTCAATACAGCATCAAGTGATCTGTACTGCCTCTTGCCAAATTCCACGTTACCTTCTATAATCAGTGGCTAACCGACAGGTGCTTTCCCACTTGTTCTGGAGCTCAGAAATAGT